CTCTTTCCCTCTGGCATCCATGTGAGAGCTGTTTTGGCGGGTATATCAGGATTCATTCTTATAACATGGCCAAGCCATTTCCATCTTCTCTTGGTAATCATACTGTCTAAAGTTTCTTGGTTTGTGGTTTGAAGTAGTTTAGTGTTTGAGATTTTATCTGGCCAGAAAAATTTGATAATTCTACGTAGACATGTGTGGTGGAAGGTGGACAGCTTGTGTACATCCTTTCTGGTCATTCTCCAGCATTCTGCTCCCTAATGAAGAACTGGCAAAATGATGCTCTTGTAGAGTCGGAGTTTCGTTCCTCTGCAGTAACTGTTAGATTTCCAGATTTGCCTCATCCTTCCAAAAGCAGCTCTAGCTTTGTTCAGACGTGACTGTATGTCTTCCTCTGTCCCTCCCAGTAGGGACACCACATTGCCAAGATGTGTAAAATGTTCTACATTTTCAAGTGATTGGTTACTTATGGTCACTGGTTGTAGGTTTGGACTGTTTGTCATTATCTTAGTTTTCTTTATATTTATTCTCAGTCCCACCATTTCTGCTGTGCTCTGTAGTCTGTTACTTTTCTCTTGTATATGTTCACGTTTATGTGATAGGAGTGCTATATCATCTGCAAAATCAAGGTCCTCAAGTATGGTGAATGGAGTCCATCGTATGTCTTTCAATGTCTTGTCTACTGTGTTTTTTAGTATCCAATAAATCACAAGGTTGAAGAGGAGAGATGATATGACACATCCCTGTCTTACACCTGTCTTTACTGGGAAAGATGTATTGTAATTTTTTATGCTGCAGGAAAAGTCTTTATAGAAAATAGCAATTATGTTGACTATTGTTTCTGGAATTACATAATGTCGTCATATTTTCCAGAGACTGTCTCTATGGACGCTGTCAAAAGCATTCAAAAGCATGGGTAGAAAGCATTCGAAAATCGCACTTAACCTTTGTAACCTGGATCTACACACCAGATCATGCGAGCGTGAAGGGAAATGAGAGAGCGGACCAACTGGTAAGCACTGCACTAAGGATTGCGGGGAAAAGCATGGACTGAGCAGATATCGTCAACGCTTTACGGACTGGGCTAGTGGATAATGAGGAATCCCAGACACTAACGCGATTGCGGGACATGGCAGTGAAGTATGGTAAATCACGTCTTTGCCGTCTTCGAGGCCGAGATGGGAGACAATATAATCAGCTTCTCAGGGGAACAATTAGTAAAAGTACTTTGGAGTGGCTGCTGTATCGGAGGACTGAGCACGCATGGGAATGCCGAATGTGCAGTGACATCGATTGTGACAACATAACATAAACAGAGATTTGCAGGACAGACAGAAATAGACGGTAAACTGGGTAACAGAATGGGATTTTGAACTCCCATGACTATCATTATCTGCCACAGTTCATGGTGGTGCAAACAGTAAAATACCTTGCTGTAGTCTATGAAAAAAGTATGACTATCTATCTTATATTCTCTACATTTCTCTAGGATGATTGAAAATATGGTCTCCTGTTCCCCTGCCCACGTCTAAAGCCCGCTTTTGTTTCTTGTTCATTTTCCAATTTTTTTCTCAATCCTCCTCACAGTGAAATATGGAAGGATTTTGTTGGCACGACTAATTATAAGACTTGTAGAAGCCGCTTAATTGTTTCGTAGACCTTACTACCACTGCTTATTAGTTAAAGTTTTTACAATAACTTCCTCCTTATCACTACTCCATTTTTAAATTCCACACAACAATAAGCTCATCAAATTGAACTGACACAATAACTGATACTGAACCTAAACGAAATCATCACAGGTTCAATGTGAGGTATTCTGTAAGCTTATAGAACGTGAAAGAGCAGTAAGTCAGCATTGATTTCCTCAAGTGTGCACTGATGCTTCGATCTCCTGAATCATAAGTCCATCAGCCGAAGTTGTGCAGCAGGGATTTCCCTATCGTCTGATCTCTCTCTTTGTGCTCGCGGCCATCAGTTATGGTCAAGTAAACATACAGACTCGTCATCGTCATATCGGAGTATCGAACCACCAGCCAGACAAATGAGACACCGATCCTACCAGGAAGAAACTGAAACGTTGGTCGTGTGAGAACTTGTTGCTGTGGTTGTGCACTCAGTAGCCTGACCTGAGTGTTGGGTTTGAACCCCTGAGACAGCATGTCGTTTTTTGCTCTCATTGATCTTCTACAGAGAGGGCCGCCACCAGTTTGGGTAAGGTTGTGTGTGGTCGGGTAGGGTCATAGGGGACCAGGTTTGAATTTGCAGGAGAAGTAAGATAAGATAATTTTTGGGTCCGATTTTTAGCAAGTCAGTCAACACCAAGACAATAAAATACGACAGTTAGAAAAGAAATTTCTTCACTGTATTTGTATTCGCTTCTGGTGTCAAAGGAGATATAAGGTTTTACCTACTGCTCTTCTGGTCGCCATCGACCATAGACGTGTCGCATTGTTGTTTAAGTCCTCTGAGGTTATCTATAAATGTCTTCTTCTTCTACCTCGTATTCTACGTCCCTCTCCTCTTTTGTTGCATATCTTGTATGTTTTGTCGTCACAAGGCCCTCTCTACAAGTGGGCCAACCAGTTTCTTTGCTGTTTCTGTATGTCATTTAGTTTTGCTTCTGTCCGAATTATTTTCTCTTGTGACTTCATTGCCGATTTTGTCTCTTCTGGCCACTCCTGCATACTTTCTCAAATATCTCGTGTACATGGTTACCAATAGTTACATAATCACAAGACAATGAAGACTATAAAGATAAGACAGAGCAAGACACAACTATTCAGCGCCTTTCGCCTGCCAGGGAGGCCTACCTGTCTGTGTGTATGTCTGTATGTCCACCACTGGTTATCTGTTATCACATGTCCTGGTGTCACGTGACTAAACATGTCTACCCCAGAAACCTGGCATCATCAGCCCGCAGGAGTTTGCCGAAGACGTGGCTCGGATCCACTCGGAGTACAGGAGAAAACACAAGGCTTATTCTTTGAGGTAACACATGCCACCACCACACACTTCACTAAGCTTTTTACAGTCTCGCCTGGGCGATCGTGCCTCCCTTCGCTGCCTTGTACTGTTTATCTGTGTGTTCTATCACTATCATCATCTTCTTCGTTATCATCATTATCACCGTCAGCATCATATCTTTCGTCATCAGCGAAAACATTATCATCATTTAAAAAAACCATGGCATGATCTCTGGAAGATCTGGCGAGGGCAGACCAACAAGAAGTTTGACTCATGATATCAAAAACTCGTGACCTGATCCCTGAAAGATCGGACGAGGGCAGACCAACAAGATGTTTGACTCATGATATCAGAAACTCTACAAAGGTGCATGAAGCAGAAGAGTTTGCATACAGGGGTCACGTTTGGGCCCCTTTGGTGTAGCGCCTTTACAATATGATTAGAGCCACATCATGCACATGATTTGATATCTGCATATTATGATCATCAACATCATGCATCATTCTGAGTGGCGCAAACAATCCAGCTCCTGCACAAACATCTGCCGGGCGTGTTCTGAGCAGATACATCTGTTCACACATCAGCTGCTTTTCCGCCCCTCATTTTCAGTCTGCTCGTATCTTCTCTCTGCCTTCTCCTGGGTCACCGTTCATCATTCTTTATACTTTCAATGGTTACAGTCGAGAGAAGCGACTTCTTTCCATCCGATTTTATCCCGTAAGGCTCGGTCTCTCTCCGCAGACCGACTAGCCGCCTGCCGAGAGCGTCCCACAAAGCACGAATTCACCAATAACGTAGCACCAGCGATTATCCCCAGGGAACTGGGAAAAATTACACTCGTAAGGCGAACGACGCAGCCATGAAACGAACCCACAACCTTCAGAGCAGGAGACAAACGGTTTGACCACTCGACCACATAGCCCCCTTCCCCCCCCCCCATCCCGTTATAGTTTCGAGATGCCCCCATTGATCCTCTCACAAGCGTACAGAATGGCAAACGTTGACTTCTGACTTGTTGTTTGAGAAGAGCTGCTTTGCATTTCTGTAGTTATAAAATTGTATCTCGTCACCCGAGGGTGAATTTTTTGTTATTTCATAAGTGATCATAGATTGTCCCAGTCTAGAGCTTTATGTGAAGTAAACGCGATCGGCAAGATATTGACTTCTTCACCCATGGTGCTCTGATGGTTGTGTACACATTTGACGCTATCATCACATTCCCTACATGTCTTGGATCATTGAGGAGCATTGTCTGGATTTTTTGTTTCTGTGGGTATGCTGAAGTGCTGGGAAACGAACATGCAGACAGACTGGCTGGCACTGCATAACTTGGGGGAATGCTGATACATGATAAGGCAGACATGGTTAGGGCCTTGTGGGGTAATATGTACAAGTCGGAGGAGCAAATGGATCACCACAGTCTGGCGAGAATGATGCAGCGGAGAAGGAAGGGAGTGGGAGGCGTGGGGGTGATGAGGTTATCTGGTCGATACTCGACGCTCAGAGGAAAGGCGAGACGGGTGTATAATCAGAATGCTATTGGCACCATTGGTATTGGAACTCTGCGATGGCTGCTGAAAATAGGGACAGAGCGCTTATAAGAATGTCCCGAGTGCTGTGATGTCGGTCCTTGAATCAATTCAACTGCACCATATCTATTATCCTGCTTCATTTCTCTAGCCCAGTTCTGCCTTTGGGCGTCAGGTTTTGAAGAGGCATTTGGTAAGAGCTCTCTAGATGCCGACATTCAGGGTCTGACTTCATTCCTGGCTTTCTCTCTTCTGGAGTCTCCTGCAGACTTTCTTAAACATCTCGTGTCCATGGTTACCAATAGTTACATGATCACAAGTCACTGGATACTGTAAATAATACAGAGCAGGACATAACTGCTGAACGCCTTTTCCCCCTCTCACTCCACAGGTCGAAAACGAATTATTTGCTTTACATTTGAAATGTTTAACTTGTGTTATTGTTTAGCTAAAGCCAGATTTATGTTAATGTTGTTTCCAAATGTCTGACTTGCCAGGTTAAACGAGGAGATGATGGAGATGGCTCAGAAATGGGCCGACGAGCTGGCACAAACCCAGGACCTGGCTCACAGCGGCTACAAACTGAGAGGGGTCCGGATTGGAGAGAACATCGCCATGAAGTGGACCTCAAACAACGCCGTCTATAAACGTCAGTTGTCATTTGGTCTAGACCAGTGTTTCTCAACCTTCCTGACGCCGCGACCCTTCAATACAGTGTTCTTCGTGTTGTGATGACCCTTTAATGCAGTGTTTTTCGTGTTGTGATGATCCTTTAATAAAGTGTTTTTCGTGTTGTGATGACCCTTTAATACAGTGTTCCTCATGTTGTGGTGACCCTTTAATACAGTGTTCTTCGTGTTGTGATGACCCTTTAATGCAGTGTTCCTCGTGTTGTGGTGACCCTTTAATGCACTGTTCCTCGTGTTGTGGTGACCCTTTAATGCAGTGTTCCTCGTGTTGTGGTGATCTTTTAATGCAGTGTTCCTCGTGTTGTGGCGACCCTTTAATGCAGTGTTCCTCATGTTGTGGCGACCCTTTAATGCAGTGTTCCTCATGTTGTGAAAACCCTTCAATTCAGTGTTCCCCATGTTGTGGCGACCCTTCAATGCAGTGATCCTCATGTTGTGGCGACCCTTCAGTGCAGTGATCCTCATGTTGTGGCGACCCTTCAGTGCAGTGATCCTCATGTTGTGGCGACCCTTCAGTGCAGTGATCCTCATGTTGTGGCGACCCTTCAGTGCAGTGATCCTCATGTTGTGGCGACCCTTCAGTGCAGTGATCCTCATGTTGTGGCGACCCTTCAGTGCAGTGATCCTCATGTTGTGGCGACCCTTCAGTGCAGTGATCCTCATGTTGTGGCGACCCTTCAGTGCAGTGATCCTCATGTTGTGGCGGCCCAAAAGCATACAATTAATCTCGTTGCTATTTCATAACTCAATGACTATGTGTTTTCTGGTGGTCTTAGGCGACCCCTGTGAAGAGGTCGTTCGATCCAAAAAAGGGTCGTGACCGGTCGGTTGAGAACTGCTGGTCTAGACAGACACACGTATATTACATTATGTTCAAATTATTGTCATCCTGTGTTTGAATCTCATTTCTTTTCCCGATCACTTTCTAAGTTCAGTAATTGTAAAATTCTAGTTTATGCCGTGTTTTTTTTTTTTTTTCTTTTTTTTTTCTAATGCATCTGCCACGTCTCTTTTAACTCAGTATATCTCCGTGATCTCTTTTAACTCAGTATATCTCCGTGATCTCTTTTAACGCAGTATAGCTCCGTGATTTCTTTTAACGCAGTATAGCTCCGTGATCTCTTTTAACTCGGTATACCTCCGTGATCTCTTTTAACTCAGTATAGCTCCCTGATCTCTTTAACAGCCCGGTTTCTTTTTTGATCATTTTCCACATTTCTTGATCCTAATCAGAGCTTCATTTCATAGTGACTGTGTGTGTGTGTGTGTATGTGTGTGTGCGCGCGCGCGCGCGTGCCTTACATTCGAATGTGATCACATTCCAAATTTCTTGATCACACTCAGAGCTTCATTTCACATGTGACTCTGTATGTGTGTGTGTTTCTGTGTGTGTGTGTGTGCACGCGCCTTATATTTCAGTGTGATCACATTCCAGATTTCTGGATTCCATTCAGAGCTTCATTTCACATGTGTATGTGTGTGTATGTCTGTGTGTGTGGGTGTGTGTGTCTGTGTATGTGCACGCGCCTTACATTTACCTATACGAACTCCCTTCAAAGATACTTTGACCTATGTGAACACACTTTACAAATAGATGTTTGTGTCTGAACGCCTTATCTAAATCCTAACTCCGGGTATTTACCGCCCTTCTCCATGTTTTCCCAGAATTCATGATTTCGTTATCTTTATTTTATTCCATTCACCTGTATCTTTATATGTTCCTTATTTGTTGTCTGTGGAATTTCAGTATTTTAGTTACATATTTGAGAAGGTGTCAGGTTTGTCAGTTGACACCACAAAGGACTCCACACCTAAAATATTCTATACTATCTATGCATTTGATAAAAAATTATTTCCTGGGGGAAACAAAATTATTAATGTCCGACTCAGGGCCGAGTTTACACTTGATGAGGGCCTAAGCTATACAAAGCCCCGAGGCCCCTACCGTTTTAAATTACACCCGCTAATCTCAGAAAACTAAAAAATATTAGCATTTTAAATATATTGATAATGGAAATCTGTTTTCGTTTAATTTTTTTTTAAATAAATTAAAAACATTTGTGAATGCACATTAACATAAATTGTATCATCCGCTAGAAGGCTCCAAGTTACAAGATAAAAACATTATTTTATTCTTGATTTCCGAATGCAAAATTATTGATTAGGTTATCAAAAAAGGACTTTGTGGAGGCCCTTGTAGATTGTGAGGTCTTCAGTTTCACTGTTAGCTGGTACATAAACCCGGCAGTGGTCTGGGCACATTGTAAGGTAGTACAGCCCACTGAACCAGTGGTCGGCAAATCGCGGCCCACGAGCCGCATACAGCTCTTTAGGTAGCTGATTGCGGCTCGGCCAATCGACCACAAATCGGTTTTGTCTCCGAAAAACAATGTTTTTGACTGTTTCTTGAAAAGAAATTTGGCTCCCCCAAAAAATTGTCATCATCATGCTGCTAATTTGTAGCTCTTATGACTGATGAGCTTGTCGACCATAGCACTAAACCATGCAGCTAGCACTGCTACAGAATAGTTGAAATAGATTGTCACATGTTGTGTTGCAGCCCAGGAGGTGTGTGACCAGTGGTACAGCGAAGTACGAAACCACCAGTTCGGTGTGGAGCCCACGGTTCTGACAGCAGGTAAGGGACGTCATCACCCACGTCGTGTAACTGCCCATACCGAGTAGCGACCCCTTGTTCTGTCTAATCTAAATACCATTTATTTATTTACACAGATCTCCTCTTGTAGCGGCTAGTCGCTTGCCTGCGGCATGTAAGGTCGTGGGTTCAGTTCCTCACGGAGCCGGATATTCTTTTTAAATAACCTTGGCTCTCATGTCGACCCAGCCTTGAGTGGGTACCAGGTATAGTTCTGGGAAGTAAAAGTGGTTGGTGTAATGTTGACCACATCAGCCATAGAGTTGTGATTGGTCTATAAAGTATAGGACTAGCCCTATGTGCCCAATAGTCTGAAGGCGAGGAAAAGGGCCCTTTACTTACTTTACTTCTCATGTGGGTTCCGGGGCCCATTGTGGGACCCCATTACAAGCATGTCGTAACAGCCGACCAATTTGTTTCAGTCGAAGTCGGAGTTCATCTGCCTGAAAACCGAAGAATGAACAGTCTGCTTAGAAAAAAAGCCAGACCTGTAAAACTGCTAGGTATCTGTCGGCAGATCGAGCTGCATTGATTTCAACAATGAGATCGTGGCGCTAGCCGTTTCAGAAAGCAACTGCAAATTACTAAATGTGAAGTAGTCTAGGGAAACCATCAACAGTCAACAAATGCTGGCGTTGGTTCTGCCATGTTCTGTAAAACAAGTGTTCTCAACGTGGCACCCATGTCCTGCAAGAGGAGGGGGGGGGGGGAGAGGAGGCAGCAGTTTGATTGTTAAGGGGAGCAATTCCTAAATGGACTCGTCTAGAGTTTGAGTTACATATGGGGCATGCGAATCTTAGAATAGGTTAGGTGGGCCATGAATTGTAACAGGTTGGAAAACACTGCTGTAAAGATTACACAACTATCTTAACTATTGATTGTATTTATTTTGTCCTTACCCTTCTTTGTTCATTAAATCCTTTTCTATCTCTGCTTGTCGTTATTCTGTAATTCTGTTATGATTCTGTATGGGCCTTTGTTTTCATTCTATAGCAGTCTTTATATTATGATTGCTTCTTTGTATTCTCTTTATTTTAATTTTTTATCTGACGTTCATTTTTTGTATTTATATCTTTTTTTCTTTATCGTATTCATTGGACCCCTTTCCTATAAATGTATGTGTTTTTCTATACATTTCTGTGTCTTCATATCTCAAATTGTCTTTGTTTGTTTGTCCATATTCCTGACTCTTTATGTCCATCTCTTTGTCTGTTTGCTGCTCCTTGTATTTAACTATTGTGTTTATATTTCTATCTATCCCCCATAATTTTTCTTCTTCCTTATTGTCACACATCGTGATACATTACACGACTCCCACGAACTACATCAGGCACCTCAACCCGCATCTCTATCCCAACAGGTCACTTCACCCAAATGGTGTGGAGAAACTCCACGGAGATAGGGGTCGGCCGTTCTCAGGCCAAGGACGGACGATCAATTGTCGTGGTCAACTACTATCCACCAGGCAACGTTATTGGAGAGTTTACGGTAAATGTACTGCCTCCGGACGATTAGAGTAAATACGGTATCGGCGCAAACAACGGTGGATTCGGATAAATACTGTAACTTTCACCGGAACCTAATGCTGCACAAACTGTCGGCATAATTTGTCATCCCTATGGTGTTTTTTTAAAGAGGCTAAAACAGGCAGACAGCATATGCAAACATTAGACAGTAGCAGTGGGCATTTGGAGCCACTCTATAGTTGAGAAACAAGCCATAACAAACTGTTCACATCTAGGAACGTGTATCAGCACTGTAGCTCCTGTCCAACTGCTTCCTTACTTACTTACTTAGTCGCTCCTCTTCTACCTTGGGGTGTAGAGGTTTGCCAGAGAGATCGCCAGACGTCTCTATCAGCAGTTTTCTTTCTGGCTTTGTTCCATTCCAGTCCTCTGTCAGTCAGGGACTGTCGGATGTTGTCTTCCCAGCGCACCCTGGGTCGTCCCGGAGGTCTGGTTCCCTGGTTCTTAGCCTCCCATGCTTGCCATGGTGGCCGATGTTCTCCCATTCTGCACACATGTCCAAACCATCGTAACTGTGACTGATCCACTCGGGTTAGTAAGGGCTGGGTATCAAGATCTTGACGTATTGTCTGATTGCGGACTTTGTCCCTTCTTGTCACTTGGACCACCTTTCTCAGGTATCTCATTTCCGAGGCCTGCAGCTGGCTTCTGTGAGCTGTTGTCATTGCCCATGACTCACACCCATAGGTCAGGACTGGTACATAGGTAGAGCGGTAAACAGCCATTTTCGTTCTCTTGCCAATTTCTCTTTTGCTAAGAAACCCTCGGTTTATGGCCTGGAAGAGTCTCCCAGCAGCTGCTTTTCGTGTAGCCAGCTCAGTCTTAATGCCTCCATTTTGGTCTAATACAACTCCAAGGTATTTGAACTGGTTAACCTGCTCCAACGCATACTGACCCATCATGATCTGGTGTTTCTTCTCCTCTCTTGAGATCACCATGGTTTTAGTTTTGGAGACACTGATGGTCATCCCTTTCTTTTCAAGCTCTTCCTTCCAGACAAGTAAGTTGGACTGAAGGTGTGCCTCTGATTTAGCTATCAGGGCCACATCGTCTGCAAAAGCCAGCTCTGATATACAGATTGGTCTCATCTTCCAGTACCCTACAGAGTACTTCTTTGTCTTCTCCTTACAGGTCTTGATGACATCATCCATCATAAGAATGAAGAGGTAAGGTGAGAGAATATCACCTTGTCTAACACCGCTGGTGGTCTTAAATTCTTCTGACTTTTGGTCTGCTGTTCTTACATAATTTCTGCACTTTTTGTAGAAACTCTGTATTGCACTGATCAGGGGTGCTGGGATGTTTTTCCCTGCCAAGCAGTCCCAGAGCTTGTTCCAGGGTACCTTGTCAAATGCCTTTTCCAGATCCAAAAAACATAAGTGAATCTCACTCTTATATTCCAGGGCTTTTTCACTCATCTGTCTCAGTGTGAAGATAAGGTCTTGAGTACTTCGGTTTGCTCTGAAGCCGCACTGGGCCTCGTCCAGCTGTGGCTCTACCAGACTTCTAAGTCTCTGCTCAAGAATTCTAGAGTAACTTTTACCGGGAATGCTGAGGAGGGATATGCCTCTGTGGTTTTCACATTGTCTGTTATCACCTTTTTTAAATATAGGTATAATGATGGCAATCTCCCAATCTTTTGGTATAGTTTTGCTACACCAGGCTGCCTGGAGAACCTTCAGTAGAAGGCGCTCACCTTCGACTCCCATATATTTGACCATCTCTGGTGTTATACCATCATGACCTGCTGCTTTTCCCAGCTTAATCTTCTCAATAGCTGCCTTCAATTCTTCCATCCTGATGTTATCTTCCCCATGATTGAATTCCTTCTCAGCAGTGAGGTCCATTATTTCTGGGTCATGACTTCCCTCAGCGCCGAGGAGCTCTGAGAAGTATTCTTTCCATCTGCCCATGATATCATTTGTAGAAGTAAGCAGAGCCCCTTCCTTGTCTTTTATGAATTTAAGTGGGCACTCTCTCTCTCCTTCCTCATGTTCTTAAGGGTCTTGTAGAACAGTTTTTTGGTTTTCTCTTGCATTCTTTTCCAACTTTTCTCCAAACTCTTCCCATGATTTCTGTTTTGCTTTAAGCACAATATTTTTGGTCTCTGTTCTGAGTGCCACATATTGTTTATATTTTTCTATTTCTTCAGCTGTGTTCCTGGCTGCCAGGTATTGCTTCCATGCCCTTTTCTTTTCTCCTATTTTCAATTTGACTTCTTCTGTCCACCAAGGTGTCCTGTGTCCCCGCCTTCCACTTGGGACTTCACCACATGCTTCTACTGCAGCTGCTGTGAGGATATTCTTGAATCTGCACCAGAGAGTTTCAGTGTCCTCTGATGATTCTTCTTCAGTTCCTATTGCTTTCACTATAAGCTCCTGGTATCTAGCCTTAATATCTGGCTCTCTTAGCTTGTATGCTTTAATCCTCATCCCTTCTTGGTTGCATGGTTTCTTGCATAGTTGTCGGTGTTGCCTTGTTGGAGCAGTTCTTTCAGTTGTTCTCTTTATTGTGACCAGATAGTGGTCACTTCCAATCTCTGGTCCTCTCATGACTCTGGCATCTCTCACAAACTTGAATGAACTTTTCCTAACTATGGCGTAGTCAATGATGGATTTTTCATTCTTTGAAGGTTCACATCTTGTGTACGCATGTATACGCTTGTGGGGGAATTTTGTGTTTGTAATGACAAGGTTCTGTTCCCTGCAGAATCTGAGAAGTCGCTTGCCATTATCATTCAAAACATCTTCACCATATCTCCCGATCACTCCACCCCATCTAGAGTGATCATTTCCTACTCTGGCATTTAGATCTCCTAGGAGGATAATTTCATCGTGACAGTCATCTATGGTCTTTTGGAGCAGTTCAAAGAATTCTTCTTTAACATCTACTCGCTCATCTTCATTTGGCCCGTACACAATGACAAAATTGACAATTTTATCTTCTTCTTTCAGATCTAACACCATTATTCGCTCTGAGATGAATTTCCATCCCTTGATGTTACTAACTTGATTCCTAGCCACAATACAGCCAACACCTCCCTTGGCTCTCTCCGTCATAGGGACACCACTGTAGAGCAGCATACTTCCATCGTGATCTGTGATTCCTTGCCCCTTTTTCTTGGTTTCAGTCAGAGCCAAGACTCCTAATTTTGCTTTCCTCATCTCCCCTACTAACTCGTTTTCCTTTCCGTTAATGCCTCTTATATTCCATGTTCCATAAATCGTAGTCCGTAAGCCATGCCAGTTCGTCGCCGTTAAGATCCGTCCGGTTTTCTCTCTGTAGTCCAACTGCTTCCTCTGACTATAAAAGCGTAATTACCATCGATGAACATGTGAATCTTGAACTGTCCAGCTTTCCAGTTGTTTCCATGTTTTCCTGTATCTTTCTTTTCACCAACAGAAAAAAAATTTTGTTGTCTTTTTCTTACAGTGTGTCTACTCGTCTGCGTTCAGTTGACAGTTTTTGTGACTGTCCGACATATTCGAAATATTTGTAAGAGAAAGCACATCTCCACTGCCCCCAAATATTCCCTTCGTTTGTTCACATGCCAAGATTCACTGCCATACGCCGTGTTGTTGGAACCTTTCTGGTAACACCAATACCTTTGCAACAAAGCCTGCGGCAGCAGCTGCCGGATCAAAGCTCTGTCCGCGTGTCGGAGCTACCCCCCTCGCCGACTAAGGCTAAAGACATGATGGGCCCAGCAAAAACATGAAGTTTTCAAATTGCTTATCTTCCTGTGATAACACTAGTATCTTCTCCAATGAGCCCTTCCAACCAAAACCGTTACCACATTGGGCACATAACGTCAAATGTTGTATATAACAATTCATCAATAACTCTGTCATTCTGCGAAAATTTGATTTATTGTATAACATAAGTACGAACATTATGCGGAGACTGTGACTTAGGCGTTGCGAGTCCGACTGGTAATTCCAACATACCGCCATCGAAACCCAATGCTGGCTGTGTGGATTTGTATCAGTCTGATATGGCGCTTCGCAGGTCGACCTAGCCTAAAATGGGTAACATGATGTGTGTCCTGGGGAAGTAAAGACGGCCAGCGTAATGCTGACCACATTACCCACCTAGTGACAACTGGTCTATAAAAAATATGTGTTTTTTTTCCCGTATGCCTGATGCGCCCAAAGCGTGAAGAGGGATCTTTACTTTTTTACTTTACTATAATTACGAACATTCAACTACTTTTCCACTCAATATTTGTGGTGCATCTGTCATAAGATTGTGTGAGTGGCCTCGCTAAGTAACAAGTTTTCTGGGGGAAACAAAAGAGATAGACGGCGAGAGAGGATTTATTGCAGATTTCTATCATTGCACCCTTGGATAAAACAGGGTTTGTTATGCGGGTGGGGAGGGGGTGGGGCAAAAAATAACATATTTGCTTATATATTGTTATTTAAATCAGAAACTGATATTCCAGCACCTGGTAGCGTCCGTGGCTTAGGCATTGCTAGTCCGACTCTTAATTCCAAAATACCGTGATCAAAACGCACTGCTGGCTGCGTGAATTTTTATCATGGCAGGTCGACCCAAATTTAAAATGGGCACCAAGATTTATGTCCTGGGGAAGTAAAGACGGCCGGCGTAATGCTGACCACATTACCCACCTAGTACCGATTGGTCTGTAAAAATATGGGACGCTCTTCCCATATACCCGATACGCCTAAAGGCGTGAAAATGGCTCTCGACGGCTACTCTATTCCGGCACTTGGGACTTTCCGATAAGCGGACCAGCCCTTTGTCCTCAGCTAGCGAACAGTTAGAGTGTTGAAATTAGAAATTAAGGTCACTTATTCCAGTTATTAATTTATCAAGACACTTGGGTGTTACATACGTCCAGTTTATGTCTTCATAGAAAGTTGGACATGATTCTAATAAATGTGTCCATTTGCCGCTGCTAATCTAGTCTACTTGAGTTTTTATGGCGCGTTAGTCGTCTACGTAGATGTTGTTTAAAATCTGTCTTCTTTGTTCTTGTGTCTGATTACTACATAACAATGTTGTGCTCTCTCTCTCTCTCTCTCTCTCTCACTCTCTCTCTCTCTCTCTCTCTCTCTCTCTCTCTCTCTCTCTCTCTCTCTCTCTCTCTCTCTCTCTCTCAAAATAACAAAAAATTTGCACCCCACAAGGCGATGACCAAAAACAGTAAATGTAAGCAGCGAAATGTCGCAAAGACATTTTAAAGGTGTAAAGAGCACTCACGGATTTGGGATAAAACTACAGAGAGCTCCACAAAACAGCAATAACATCATACACCTTTGACAATGAGGATCTTTATCGACATCATATCTCACTGACAGATGACACAGAGACAATGGACAGACATGCAGTAGTTGGTTCTGTAGGTGCCAGCTATAGAGAATACTTCCAGAAAGAAAACGTAACTCTTGGGTAAGGGTGACAATCAGTTAGCCTTCATTGCTCCAGGTGATCTGGTCGTAGTCCTTGTATTTCCTCAGCAGCAGGGACTGTGTGATTGTGTGATCTGCCTGACCGAATTGCTGAAATATCACAGATGATTTATGATTGTATAATCAATTCTGGAGTACCTATTTGGTTACATGCCAACGTTTCACAAGAATCTAACAATGTGTATATCATCATTGTCATCATCTCGTAACACTGCGTGCTGTTGGGTCGTGAACTGCTGTTGAACGTCCTGCAAGGTTAGGGCGACCACTTATCCCCTTGCAAATTATCTGGTAAACTTGCTACTCCACCCGTACACTTTCTGGGCTGGTAGGCAGGCAGGCAGGCAGGCAGGCAGGCAGGCAGGCAGGCAGGCAGGCAGGCAGGCATGCATCCCCGCACTGGATCTTCATTCGCTGATGAATTTCTATTCCTTTCACTGATTAAAATTCGAACATCTCAACTTTACTTCTCTTTGTTGCGTGGTAAAAGTGGGGCGGCCATCTTTAAAATGTCATTAGGACGTCACCGTGTTAGTCTGTACCGTGATGTCACTGCTTAACAGTCTTGACATCCTTAACAACAGTATTGACAGGTTAAAGATAATGGCATGGTTAGTGTCCATTTCTATCTGACTTTTAACGTTTTTAATTGAAACCTCCACGTAGATATTAAATACAAATACAAAAGGGAGGAGGAGTTTTCATAGCACTTGGAGATACATAGAAGTCACAGGAATTTAAAACTAATAGAAAATTTAAAATGTATGACTCGAACGTCAGATCAGTTCTTCTGTATCAGCTGAAACGTAGGGAACAAATAAACAATTAAATTTACTGATAAACTACAAACATTCGTTAACTGCTGTTTGCGGAGATTATAGTGAATTAAATGGAATGATAGAATCTTGAGCTTTGCGAGGATCTAGAAAAATGTTAATTAAAAGGTAAAGAAAAGACCCTAGGATAGGACGCACATTGAGAAAACATGAGAAAAATATAATAGAATATCTTTGCTCTGGGACCCACAATAAAGACAGAATAAAACGACAAGGAGAAGGGAACAAGAGAATGTGGTTACAAAAGATGATGAAGGCATGGCTGGTGTAGGAGGAGATAAGCAGCATATCATAGCCAAGGATAGGACTAGTCGGTCAACGTCAGTTGGTTAAGGGCCTATGCTCCATTAGGGGATGAAGGGTAGAAGAAGAAGTCTGTGTGACAGACCACCAGGATCTAGGATACATTTACACCAGCGTGTGATGTGATGCATTCAACGGTCTAGGACTACGAGTCAAATCCGAACATTCTACTTATCTAAGACCGTCAATAAACTGTAGCCACCTGAGAATATCTATACACTCCGCTCACCTGAGAACATCTATACACTCCGCTCACCTGAGAATATCTATACACTCCGCTCACCTGAGAACATCTATACACTCCGCTCACCTGAGAACATCTATACACTCCGCTCACCTGAGAACATCTATACACTCCACTCACCTGAGAACATCTATACACTCCGCTCACCTGAGAACATCTATACACTCCGCTCATCTGAGAATATCTATCAACTCAGCTCACCTGAGAACATCTATACACTCCACTCATCTGAGAATATCTATCAACTCAGCTCACCTGAGAACATCTATACACTCCGCTCACCTGAGAATACCTATCAACTCAGCTCACCTGAGAACATCTATACACTCCGCTCACATGAGAATATCTATCAACTCAGCTCACCTGAGAACATCTATACACTCCGCTCACCTGAGAATACCTATCAACTCAGCTCACCTGAGAACATCTATACACTCCGCTCACCTGAGAATACCTATCAACTCAGCTCACCTGAGAATATCTATACACTCCGCTCACCTGAGAACATCTATACACTCCGCTCACCTGAGAACATCTATACACTCCGCTCACCTGAGAACATCTATACACTCCACTCACCTGAGAACATCTATACACTCCGCTCACCTGAGAACATCTATACACTCCGCTCATCTGAGAATATCTATCAACTCAGCTCACCTGAGAACATCTATACACTCCACTCATCTGAGAATATCTATCAACTCAGCTCACCTGAGAACATCTATACACTCCGCTCACCTGAGAATACCTATCAACTCAGCTCACCTGAGAACATCTATACACTCCGCTCACCTGAGAATATCTATCAACTCAGCTCACCTGAGAACATCTATACACTCCGCTCACCTGAGAATACCTATCAACTCAGCTCACCTGAGAACATCTATACACTCCGCTCACCTGAGAATATCTATCAACTCAGCTCACCTGAGAATATCTATACACTCCGCTCACCTGAGAATATCTATACACTCCGCTCACCTGATAATATCTATACACTCCGCTCACCTGAGAATATCTATACACTCCGCTCACCTAAGAATATCTGTCCACTCCGCTCACCTGAGAATATCTATACACTCCGCTCACCTGTGAATATCTATATACTCAGCTCACCCTAGAATACCTATACACTCCGCTCACCTGAGAATATCTATACACTCTGCTCACCTGAGTATATCTATCAACTCAGCTCACCTGAGAATATCTATACACTCCGCTCACCTGAGAATATCTATACACTCCGCTCACCTGAGAATATCTGTCCACTCCGCTCACCTGAGAATATCTGTCCACTCCACATAACCTGAGAATATCTATCCATTCCGCTAACCTAAGAATATCTATACACTCTGCTTACCTGAGAATATCTATAAACTACGCTCACCTGAGAATATCTATACACTCCGCTCACCTGAGAATATCTATCCACTCTGCTCACCTGAGAATATCTATACACTCCGCTCACCTGAGAATATCTATACACTCCGCTCACCTGAGAATATCTGTCCACTCCACATAACCTGAAAATATCTATCCATTCCGCTCACCTAAGAATATCTATACACTCTGCTTACCTGAGAATATCTATAAACTACGCTCACCTGAGAATATCTATACACTCCATTCACCTGAGAATATCTATACACTCCGCTCAACTGAGAATATCTATACACTCCGCTCAACTGAGAATATCTATACACTCCGCTCACCTGAGAATATCTATACACTCCGCTCAACTTAAAATATCTATATACTCCGCTCAACCTAGAATATCTATCCACTCAGCTCACCTGAGAATATCTATACACTCCGCTCACCTGTGAATATCTATACACTCCGCTCACCTGAGAATATATATACACTCCGCTCACCTGAGAATATCTATACACTCCGCTCACCTGAGAATATCTATACACTCTGCTCACCTGAGATATACTATACACTCCGCTCAACTGAGAATATCTATACAGTCCGCTCAACTGAGAATATCTATAAACTGCGCTAACCTGAGAATATCTATACACTCCGCTCAACTTAGAATATCTATACACTCCGCTCACTTGAGGAAATCTATAAACTCTGCTCACCTCAGTTTGCATGTACATTTTGCTTACCTGAGAATATCCATAAATCTTGATTGACTTTTTGGCGGGCTCGTGGTCTATCCGGCCGCCACCAAGCACTTCACAATCCAATCCCTTCTCCTCAATCATACCAGCCACATTGTTGTAGATGTCAGCTGTTGGAGTACACAAAACACGAGCTGCTTTTCATTTCTTGTTCACACTGATAAGATCAATCTGATGTACTGTTCTAGGCAAGTCTCCATTTTTCACTTACGCACTGAACCTTGTAGACTCATCAGGCTCTCCTATGTTAAATATGAGCCAGACAGCTGTCTATCAGGGTCTGTGTGCTTAAAGGATCCCAGAATGTGTCTTACAAGACTGTGCTCTGCCAGTGTCTTCATGCTAAACAGACCCCAGAACATGTCTTACAAGACAGTCCTCTGCCAGTGTCTTCATGCTAAACAGACCCCAGAACATGTCTTACTAGACTGTCCTCTGCCAGTGTCTTCGTTCTAAACAGACCCTAGAATGTCTCTTACAAGAATATCCTCTGCCAGTGTCTTCATGCTAAACAGATCCCAGAACATGTCTTACAAGACTGTGCTCTGCCAGTGTCTTCATGTTAAACAAATCCCAAAAAATGTCTTACAAGACTGTCCTCTGCCAGTGTCTTCATGCTAAACAGACCCCAGAACATGTCTTACTAGACTGTCCTCTGCCAGTGTCTTCGTTCTAAACAGACCCTAGAATGTCTCTTACAAGAATATCCTCTGCCAGTGTCTTCATGCTAAACAGACCCCAGAACAGGTCTTACAAAACTGTGCTCTGCCAGTGTCTTCGTGCTGAAAGGCATGTCAGATAGAAGAGGTATGACAGGAAAAAGAGTTATGACAGGTTTGACAGGTAGAAGAGTTATGACAGGTATGGCAGGTATGACAGATAGAAGAGGTATGACAGATAGAAGAGGTATGACAGGAAAAAGAGTTATGACAGGTTTGACAGGTAGAAGAGTTATGACAGGTATGGCAGGTATGACAGATAGAAGAGGTATGGCAGGTAGAAGAGGTATGGCAGGTAGAAGAGGTATGACAGATAGAAGAGTTATGGCAGGTAGAAGAGGTATGACAGATAGAAGAGTTATGGCAGGTATGGCAGGTAGAAGAGGTATGACAGATAGAAGAGTTATGGCAGGTAGAAGAGGTATGACAGGTAGAAGAGGTGTGACAGGTATGGCAGGTAGAAGAGGTATGGCAGGTAGAAGAGGTATGACAGATAGAAGAGTTATGGCAGGTAGAAGAGGTATGGCAGGTAGAAGAGATGTGACAGGTAGAAGAGGTGTGACAAGTAGAACATGTATGACAGGTAGAAGAGGTATGGCAGGTAGAAGAGGTATGACAGGTTGAAGATGTATGGCAGGTAGAAGAGGTATGGCAGGTAGAAGAGGTATGGCAGGTAGAATAGGTATGGCAGGTAGAAGAGGTATGGCAGGTAGAAGAGATGTGACAGGTAGAAGAGGTGTGACAGGTAGAACATGTATGACAGGTAGAAGAGGTATGGCAGGTAGAAGAGGTATGGCAGGTAGAAGAGGTGTGACAAGTAGAACATGTATGACAGGTAGAAGAGGTATGGCAGGTAGAAGAGGTATGACAGGTAGAAGATGTATGGCAGGTAGAAGAGGTATGGCAGGTAGAAGAGGTATGGCAGGTAGAAGAGGTATGGCAGGTAGAAGAGGTATGGCAGGTAGAAGAGATGTGACAGGTAGAAGAGGTGTGACAGGTAGAACATGTATGACAGGTAGAAGAGGTATGGCAGGTAGAAGAGGTATGGCAGGTAGAAGAGGTATGGCAGGTAGAAGAGGTATGGCAGGTAGAAGAGGTATGGCAGGTAGAAGAGATGTGACAGGTAGAAGAGGTGTGACAGGTAGAACATGTATGACAGGTAGAAGAGGTATGGCAGGTAGAAGAGGTATGGCAGGTAGAAGAGGTATGGCAGGTAGAAGATGTGTGACAGGTAGAAGAGGTATGACAGGTAGAAGAGATGTGACAGGTAGAAGAGGTGTGACAGGTAGAAGAGATGTGACAGGTAGAAGAGGTATGACAGATAGAAGAGGTATGGCGGGTAGAAGAGATGTGACAGGTAGAAGAGGTCTAACAGGTAGAACATGTATGACAGGTAGAAGAGGTATGGCAGGTAGAAGAGATGTGACAGGTAGAAGAGGTGTGACAAGTAGAACATGTATGACAGGTAGAAGAGGTATGGCAGGTAGAAGAGGTATGACAGGTTGAAGATGTATGGCAGGTAGAAGAGGTATGGCAGGTAGAAGAGGTATGGCAGGTAGAATAGGTATGGCAGGTAGAAGAGGTATGGCAGGTAGAAGAGATGTGACAGGTAGAAGAGGTGTGACAGGTAGAACATGTATGACAGGTAGAAGAGGTATGGCAGGTAGAAGAGGTATGGCAGGTAGAAGAGGTGTGACAAGTAGAACATGTATGACAGGTAGAAGAGGTATGGCAGGTAGAAGAGGTATGACAGGTAGAAGATGTATGGCAGGTAGAAGAGGTATGGCAGGTAGAAGAGGTATGGCAGGTAGAAGAGGTATGGCAGGTAGAAGAGGTATGGCAGGTAGAAGAGATGTGACAGGTAGAAGAGGTGTGACAGGTAGAACATGTATGACAGGTAGAAGAGGTTATGGCAGGTAGAAGAGGTATGGCAGGTAGAAGAGGTATGGCAGGTAGAAGAGGTATGGCAGGTAGAAGAGGTATGGCAGGTAGAAGAGATGTGACAGGTAGAAGAGGTGTGACAGGTAGAAGCACATGTATGACAGGAAAGAGGTATGGCAAGGTAGAAGAGGTATGGCAGGTAGAAGAGGTATGGCAGGTAGAAGATGTGTGACAGGTAGAAGAGGTATGACAGGTAGAAGAGATGTGACAGGTAGAAGAGGTGTGACAGGTAGAAGAGATGTGACAGGTAGAAGAGGTATGACAGATAGAAGAGGTATGGCGGGTAGAAGAGATGTGACAGGTAGAAGAGGTCTAACAGGTAGAACATGTATGACAGGTAGAAGAGGTATGGCAGGTAGGGCAGATGCCCGAAGCGCCTCTTGAAGGAAGCGACAAAACACTTTCTAAGAGGTAGCGCCTCATCTGGAGGGACCACAGTGAGTTTCATGTTGTTGAAGATGGCTAGAAGAGCACCACCCTACAAAACTATAAACGTCGACCACTTAGTTAGACAAACCTGACAATGACACGGCAAGTGGTGAATAATTCGTTTCTTTGATACCACTATTACTTCATTCTTTCCACTATTTAAACTGAGGCCCATTCTTCCACTTTCTGCAAACACAATGTCTATCATTTCCTGTAGTTCTTTCTGACTTGTTGCTATCAAGACTGTGTCATCAGCATAACGTAAACTGTTTATATTATGCATACCAACCACAATTCCGGGCATATCAATTAAAGATCTCATAATATATTCAATGTATATTGAAAACAAATCAGCTGACAGTACACATCCTTGTCGTACGCCCCTCTTTATGCTCTGAAATGTACCTAAACAGTTGTTTATTCTTATAGCTGCTGTTTGCTGCCAATACATATTCTTTATTATTCGTATATCTTTTCCATCAATGTTTAATTTTTTCTTATAGTTTGGTTACTTCTTCATGTTTCACACAGTCAAATTCTTCTGTAAAGTCTGTGAAGCATAATTACAAATCACTCTTTACTCCTCCACCTCTTTCTGACAATGTCCTTGGGATGTATATGGCATTATTTGTACCTTTTCTTTCTACAAATCCACATTATTCATCGCTGATTTCTGGTTTCATTTGGTTTCCTATTCTCCTCATAATTATTTTCAGTAACATCTTAGTCATGTGACTCATAAGACATATTGTGCGATGGTCTTCAC